AATGAGAGAGTGCTGCGATGGTTGAGAGATGATGCAAGGTTCCATGAAAGAGAAAATAGTACATATTGCTGTTTTGACTTTGTGAGGATGAACTCAGACAAGGAAGTATTGTACCCTTGATTTTAGTGAAGCCTTTCCAGAATCTTCCTGTTCTACAATGATAGATAGATGTAAATAACAGATGCAATATTTGCCGCTAAATAATTCCTTGATCTATCTCGCAAGTAAACCGTATAATGAAATGTGGGTTAATACAACCTTCAAGATCTAAACAGAAATTAGGCTTTTCAAAAAAAGGTAAATCGAAGCAAATATTCGAAAAATTTAGGGAAAACAATCAAACTGATCGAATTAAGTTTCAAATATGCTCCAGTTTCTCTTGGTAGGCCTTCTCGGCAGGCGTCATTCCCTCGTGCAGGTTGTTCGCGATCAATTGGGTTCTGTACGAATTACTCTTGAGAACAGTTGAGTTGGTGTATAGGAGATCAACTTGCTCCAGTGAAAGGCCCTTAGTCTCGGGGATCCTAAGAGTGCGAAAGCATTTCCAGATTAGTCCGAGTCCAAGTTTAACAGAGCAGTGAACAAACAAGAGGATTCTGACACTCACAAGAAGAATGAAAACGTCAAAGCTGCAAAACACAAAGCGGCCCAAAGCCAAAAGACTTTGACACCCAGGCCAGCCTGACCGGGACCAGCATCAACCAAGTAAGGGGTGATGAACCCGATGAAAAAGTTACTGGGAAGTGTAAAATCAGGAAACTGTCAGCATCGGCTTTGATTCCGTTTGGTGAAAAGGAGGAGAGACGCACACTACCCAGTTGGAAGCGGTGGACATTGCCATCTGTTTGCCACGAGTGGCAAGTGGGTAAATTTCGCTAAAATCCACAAACGTTTGTTAGCAGATGATTTCACAGATTTTTTCAACTATAATTCAAGCAAACCTCGTGACAACCCAAGGTACGGGACCTGAACGATTCCACGGAATAGAGTTAGCACTTTTGAAATGACATAGTGCAAGATGAAGCGGCCAGCTCACCCCAGGTAGCGGCGAAAATTCCGATGAAGATGCAAGAGAAAGCCACAAGAACTTTCTGTGATGCTTGGTTGTCAGCCGTAGTAAAAGTTCCAACACATGCAACGATGAGCTTTTTCGAAACACATCGAAAAGGTAACCGAGTCATGTTAGACCAATGCGAATTCAAGATGAGTTAACAGAATTGCTCACTTCGCAAGTAAACATCATTGCCGCTCCAGCAATCAACATCGTCCTGCGACCAACTTTGTCTACCGCCCAAATTCCTGGGATGGTTGCTACTACGTTGACCTACAAGAAACAATCAATCAGCTTGAGTGTTAAGAATTTGGGTCGAGAATTTATACGAGTACTTACTACATTGGTCAATACCGTTACCAGGAAGGCGTTCTCGATTCCAGAATTTTTGAAAAAGGTAGTGCCATAATACTGCAAAATAATGGTTTTGTTCAATGATGCGTTAGGCGAGTAATTCAAGTCACAAATTCAGCGAAATTAAGCTTACGAAGAAGCTGATGGTTGAGTAACGATAGGTGAAAATTTCTGTCAGTTTTTCTTTTCTCTGAGAGGCAGCGAATTCGCGTATTTCACGTACAAATTGATACCCGACTTTGGATTCCGGAGATCGATACGAACGAAGAGAGCGTCAGTCGTTGCTGCAAATATTGGAACCTAGATAGGTGTTTTTTTGTCGATACATACCGCTTGTTGCCATCCCTGAACTCTGTTGATTTGGAATGGAAATCATGCAAGTAGGTGAGTTTTGGCCATTCCTTTTGAGTTACTGATCTTTGTGAACTAACCCCAGCCCAGTCAAGGTCCTTTGAAGATTTTTTCTCTTGTCTGTTTTGAAGCAGTCGAGCAAAGTAGTCTTTCCGAAAGACCTCTCCTTTTCCAGATTAGCCATAATTTCTGAGAATTCCGCTTGTACATCCGGGTCATCATACGGAGCACTGTACAGCCGGCTAAGAGACTTCCAGGCTTCATCTTCTCTTCCCTTGAGGAGTAAGTATCGCGGAGATTCCGGCAATATGGCCAAACCGATCACAAGGATTGCTGCCCAAACAAACTGTTTTCGAATCATGTAGATGATTTTAGCATCGCGGGCATTCGTATTTGGAGGATATGAAGAAGAACCAATCAATTAGCAAACCTGAATGCCAATGGGAATGCGATAGCTGTTGGCACTGTTGAAATCTTTTGTCGCGTTCACCGTTCTGAGGTGGGAAGGTGTGATACAAGGCTCGTCAGCGACAACAACCAGTAGGAATAACTTTGTAACAGGGCGTACACCGAAGCCACTAGTAATCCGATGGTGATGGCCCATTGCTGGAAAAGAAAGCGCTTTTGGTTAGAATTCGGTTCAAAATACAACTTCCAAAAGAAACAGCGTACATAGCATGCAACCACACCTCCGCGAATCCATTTTCTGTCAAATAAATTACGAACAAGCAATCCATGGGGAATAAGCTAGCCATTCATGGCGATGTCCAGTGGGCAAGGGTTCTATACTCAACGGTGCACATTCCGATTGATACATTGGCACAAGGCAAGATGCAACACCAACTCCCAGGCCGGCGAATACCCTCCCGACGACAAATAACGGTATGGTGGTTGAAGCAGTTTGCAAGGCAACGCCCACGGAGAAAATCGCACACGCGATCATTATGCCTATTCGCCGACCAAACCTGTCTCCAATGGGATAAGCTAAAAGTGCGCCGACAAAAGTCTGACACAAGCCACACGTTTGGTTTCTATGAGCCCGATACACGTCTAAGAAACCTGGTGTAATGCATGGACTTACCCCGACTGAGAGGATACTGGTAACCTATATCATAAATAATGCGTTCACTTGTCAAAGCTGGAATTAAGATCACGGAGCAGGCCATATACTTACAAGAGAATCTTGGCCGGTGGTAATCATATATTTACCATCTGGTCCAAGCTGTCCAGCAGAACGTAACCAGAATGGCATCGCTAGGAACACCAGCATCAGCAATTAATGAACATGGAAGATTGTTGTAAAAAAGGTCAATCTACCTTTGACTCCCGCGATGTAGCTGAAGAGTTCATGAAAGATTGAAGTTTAGTGTGCAATCCTAGCTCAGTTGATGTGAAAGGAAAGGTATTCAGAGAAGATAGTTACCCAGTGTCGTATCCATACCTGGAGGCCACCAAAAGTGATCAACAAGAGTTTCCCGGGAACAACTTAGTAATGAAAGCGCAACTCACAGGAAACCACCAAAGGCAGCGAATCCGGCAATGATGATAGCCATCTTGCTAGATTTGCCCTCCGGCGGGGCAAAAGTGACCGGACCGGCCATTACCGCAGGCATGTTAGCGAGAAATATCCAGGAATGTCTTTTTGACTCGTATTGGAGGTAAATGTATAAATGCTAGGGGGTAGGAAACACTTTGCTAGTGAGGGAGGCTCAGTGGCAAAGGGGGGGCACCCCTTGGTCTTTTAAATCAATCTTTTGCATCTGCGACTGTCGGGAATGTACAGTAGGTGAAACACCCAACACATGATCTGATGTTACCACCTGTCATGATTTGTATGGGTACGTACATCTTTTGTATGCCTTTCGCCGGGATTTGGAAAGCAGATCCAGCGGAAAAGGTCGGCATTGATCAATCCCAAACGCGTTATGGGTCAAGCAAAAGAAAACATAGTCAAACAAATGCCCACTCTGCCCGAGCCCCTGGCACCCCATAATACATATGTGTGGGGTAATCTGAAACAAGGTCTGGACAATTGGCTACATACTCCGCATGACGCAGAAGAATTAATATCCTGGCATATTGTTGTCAATCGATCATCGATTATTGTGCTTGCTGTTGTTTTGGAGGGTCACATGAGAGTCGAGACGTCCAGCAGTAACGACGTTAGCAAACAACAGTTTCATCGCGTCTACAAATTCCCGCCTTTTCAGGGTAAGCCAGGTAAGCCCCATGTGTACCTGAGTTATTCCTTCGATTAAACAGTCCCCTCTGCTGGCTTAAACATCCGACTCCATACTAATTTTTCGCGACTATACACACACTGAAACTTGACATCTCGGTTCGGAACCGAAACGCTTTTGGTCTCATAAACAGACTATCACGACATGTGGGGACATACATGATGATTTGTTTTTCAACCCACATCGATAGCACTTTTCGCCGACGAAATCGATGATTGATGAGCCGTCGTGCCGTAATGTGACGTACCACGTAAGCAAAGGCCAAAGTCCGCCAGTGACATCATCATGAGCTCAGCTCGTCGC